AGGCTGTTTCTAGTAACCATGTTAATAAGATCATTACTCCATTTCTTATTTGCATCATTAGTTGGAGTAGGAACTTTGAAAATGCTGATACCTTTGTGTCTTCTTGAAGTTGAACAACCAAATGTTGCACAATTTTCACCAGGCATATCAAGAAAATTAATTTCAATCAAAACACAAATACAACTTAGTAAAATAACAGGCAACAACAATCTTTTTGTGCAGGTTCGGAAGTCTGGAAATGAGAAAAAACAGTATGAAAGAGTTAAAACAATACACTATTGTTCGCTTCCAAACTATGCTTAAAATGACAATTAGTTTTGCCAATATAACAGGATATACTTCCTGCACAATTAAATCGATAGACCACAAATAATTTAAATACAGGTAGGTGATCTTTAAATGAAAAACAGTTAGACACTATTAGTGAAGTGTATATCAATCTTATGGTAACCGACTCACAATGTCTTGATAATAGTGTGTAATCTTGGCTTTGTTAGCTCATTTATTTTACCATAGTAAGGAAGTTTAATAGAGATAGAGTTTGTAAGGTCTTCTTTTTAAGTAAAAATTACAGGTTTTTTCTATTATTCAAGATGGGTATACATTATGTTAATGATTAAGATGGGTATATATTACATTTAAGACCTTAAAAAAGATTGATAATATTGTAATGAAGACCAAGACTAATATTGTTGATTTTAAAAGTAATAACATTTTATAAGACTTATTTTATATGAACTTGGTGTAAAGTTGTAAAAGTTGGTGTATAATCTAGAAAAGACTTTTTAAAATTACAACCATTTTTATGAAAAACGGTTGTAATTGTGGAACTGTTTGACTGCGGTAGAGTTACCTTTAAAAAATATATTTTCGTTTTTTTTTCCTTTTCCACAGTAAAAGATAATTAGGTAAAAGATAAGAAACAGTAAAAGATATTGAGGTAATGTTTATTGTTAATGTAATCCAAGAACAAAAATGCACGGTTTTCTGGTGGGAATACTGCAAAAATATCATCTTTAGAGCGTTTGTAGAGCAACAGTTTAACTGAAATATAAAATTAGATAATAATATTATTACTTTTCTATTACTTATTATACCTAAAATTATAATAAAATCAGCATTATAATCTATAAAAAAAATTGGTAACAGTATTCCATACAAGGCTGGATTTTAGATTTATAGAGATAGAGAATAGAATTCAGAGTTAGAAAGTGTCGAGCTTGATAAAGAGATGCAACCTTAGCAGATGCTAATTTTGCAACGGATTTGATATATGGTTTCCAAGAAAGATCGGAAGTAAGAATTAATCTTAGAAGATGAAGGGTAGATGACTCATCGAGTACATTACCGTTCATAAATATAGGAAGATCTAAATTGTTACGATAACGGTTGGCTGAAAAAAAATTGAGTTTTATCTAAATTAAAGTTCACCAGCCACTGTGAGCCCCAAGCTGTAGTAGAAATGAGATCCTTTTCAAGCTCAAATGCCCCCTCCAAGCAATCTGAGAGAGTTGGCTTCTTATCATGACAAGAATAAATAGTAGTATTATCAGCAAATAATGCCACCTCAGAAGTGAGAATATCTGGAAGATCGTTAATGTAAATTAAAAAGAGTATAGGGCCAAGTATTGAACCTTGAGAAGCCCCTGAGGTTACAGAATAAGAAGAATGCTGTCCATCGAGGACAAGTTTTATACTCTCGAGTGCTGAATACAACGGGGGTTGGGATTAAATAGGTGGGTGGGAATTTCAGTCAAAATCTAATAAACGGGGGGGGGGGGGTTAATATACAGGAAGAGGGAAGTTTTTTCTGAAATTAAATAAACAGGGGGAGAGGGGTTGGGGGGGGGTAGCATTGAACATGCCTCCCCGTTTATTCGGCATGCAAATTATGCATGTTCAAGTCAAATGCGCATTTGACTTGCGGTCAAAAGCGCATTTTCTAACAGCTGTTAGGGTAGGGTTAGGTTGTTTTATCATAATTTCAATAGGATTTAATATGCTGATATAAGTTTTATACTTTGCAAAGTATAAAACTTATATTCAGCATATTAAATCCTATAATTAAAACCAAAGCTTTGTTGAAAAATAAACTAAAAGTTCATTTTTAGCAAATCGAGATTTAATAGGTCAACAATTTGTATAACCTGTTTACACTAAAAGTTTTTGTTTTTATCGGTGACTGAAAATTATTTTCAAATTTTTAAGGCTGATTTTTACTGAATTTTTTTTTTACTTTTGACATATATAATTTTTTTGTTGATAACAAGTAAAAATTAATAAACCATATATATATATATACATATATATATATATATAATATATATATATATATATATATATATATATATATATATATATATATATATATATATATATATATATATATATATACATATATACATCTCTCTCTCTCTCTTTCTCTCTCTCTCTCTCTCTCTCTCTCTCTCTATAAATATATATATATATATATATATATATATATATATATATATATATATATATATATATATATATATATATATATATATATATATTAGTTAACTGCCATGATATTTTTATTGATTGACCATCAAATCAAAAACTTGTGCTGTTTGGTCATGCAAACACAATTATACAATTAAAGATTAAATTGTTATCATTTTAACATTTGCAACATTAGGTTAATTAGGGGAATGAGTTTTAGACAAAGAGCTAACTAATCGATCTGAATTTTTCAAAATGTATAAAAATTGGAGACTATATTTTAGCAGATAGAGGGTTGCTAATTAAAAATGAGTTTTTAGAGAAAGGAGCAAACCTTTACTTTCAAACATTTTCAAAAGAAAAACAGCAATTTAGTCTGCAAAAAGTTGAAACAATATTTTACTCACTGCCACTATTTATATATTCAAATCTAACTAGTGGTAGTTTTATTTTTTTATATAAAAGCCCGAAAAAACATTGAGTCGTGTTAACATCACAGAGTCCAACTAATAATTCATACAGCAAATAATGATGCAGAGCTGTTTAACTTAAGAAAATATGTTACAAGCCTTAGGCATTTCGCAGTGGGTAATTAAGAATCAAAGGTACATACTGTTTGATATCATAATAACTTTTTCTTATTTATATATTTTTTTATTCTGTTGTATTACGATATCTTATAAAAATACAATACATACACTTTACCATAACATAAAGAAATTTCAAGAAAAGTATCATCACACTGTACAGTGCACTAAAAATAATTGTTTAGCTAAACTGGAGACCCCATAAAAAATTCATCAAAGTTAACTTTACTAACATTTGTAAAATCTGTATCTGTATTTGTAGATCTGTAAAAAATAAAGGATGATTTGATTTTAGACCATCACTGTTAAGAAGAAGTTTGTCATCGCTTTTTCAGTTAATAAAACCGTTTTTATAATAAAATAGAAACTTTATCTCTAAAATATCTTTTCCATGATAAGAACAGGTAAATATTCTGCTCCTAAAAAAAGCATATCAGCCATAATACAAAAACCAGTATCAATGAACAAAAAAATGTTATGCTTCTTTAACAAGACATCATAAAAAAATATTTTTGTAGCAACACTCCATTTTTTTTTTTACTGACAATATGGTAAAAAAATATGAAATGCTGTACATAATATTATTGTATAAATTTAATGTTGAAATCTTTTTTTATATTGGAAGATTACTTGAATAGGAGTTTCTCTGAAAACATCTTTATTTGTGTGAAATATGTTAAAACATATTGAAGCTGTATTTCTTTTTGCCGATAAACCTGTCAAGCTGACTATTAACTTTGCTGATAGATACTTTAGCAAGTTAATCATATTGTTTTTCAAAATATGTTTGATTAAAGTCTTTATATAGTTATTAGGAATGTTTTAAAAATTAAGATTCAGTTATTAGTGTCATTATTGATACAGTTAGTGTCAGATTCATTGCAAGTAGAATCATAAAAACTAGTTACAGCCTCTCGTTAACAACTTATCTCATCTTCCTAATCTGACTCAGTAACTGAGTGAGATTCAGAAGATCCTACTTGCAATAATCTAACTAAATCCTAATTTTTAAAACATTTTTAACAACTATGTTTAAAGTTAATAGAAGTTATTTTTATATTGACCTGTGGTATTGCATATCAGTCAGCGACTTTAATACTTTACGTCAATCCAATCTTATAGCTGTTGTATTGTGATAGCAATCATGAATGAAGTGATACTGAGACTCAGTTTTTCATTCTAATTTTTTACACTCATTGCTGAGCGATATGCAATATTACTTAAAACATAGTTGAGGCTTTGAGTTTTTTTTTGTAGTACGAGATAATTAAATAAACTTTATTTAAATATCTTGTTCAAAAAAATCATGTCTCTAACTGTCAGGAAACATTGAAATGTCTTGTAATGTCTGCCAAACACTTTACATATTAAAATTTTGCGGATTTAATTATTCGACCACATTTGTGATATTCATTTTTTATTTTAATCAACGATAAATATAATTTTATTATTTTAAATGCTGTGTTTATCAAGTAAAAGTAAATTATAACACAAGTTAAAAATGGTGTTTTTAAATAGTTTTGCCTGCCAGTATGCTCACGCAAATTGTTTATATTTTGCTCTTACGTCACATGAAATTGGTTTATTGGGTTTAGGTCAGACGAATTGCCAGGCCATGGTAAAGGCAAACATATAATATATATACATATAGTATATATACATATAATACATATAGTATATATATATATATATATATATATATATATATATATATATATATATATATTATATATATATATATATATATATATATATATATAAGTATTAGAATCCAGTTTAACATTTTGTTTTTGTTAGCTTCATATTTAATAGCATTGTTTCTGAAAAAATAAACTGTAACTTATAATTTAACCGCCCACTGTATATATTGCCTTTGTATGTAAAAATATTTCTCCAACTTAAAAATAAGTTAACTTGGTTGTTAATCTATTTGATTTTAATTTGTAGATTTATCAGCCTGTTGATAAATGTGCTGTTAACCATGTTAATCTGAAAATATATGAGAATCAGGTGACTGTTTTACTTGGTCATAATGGAGCTGGTAAATCGACTATTATGTCCATTTTAACAGGGCTTATGCGGCCAACATCAGGAACTGCTTTTATAAATGAAGCTGACATTAATATAAATATCAAGAAAGCACTAAAGAATCTAGGCTGGTGTCCACAAAATAATGTTTTGTTTGACAGGCTAACAGTTGAAGAGCATATTTTGTTTTATGGTGGTTTAAAAGGTTTATCAAGACAGATAATTCATGCTGAAATAGAAAG